ACACACAGGCAATACACACATACAAATACAATAAAAATTATAAATAAAATATTTTTAGAAATGTCTAACTGAAGTCCAATCTCCCTGTGACCTATGCATAAGAAATCCTTTAATTGAGGTTTTATCCTACTAGCACTCCCTTTTTCCTCCTCTAAGATTCACAGTGCACTTAATAAGTCTTCTCTTCAAGGACCAAATTCTTTGGATAAGAAAATAAGTATATTAACACACACTCTTCCAAATATATAAACGTAGTCGTAAATAGCTTCGACACTCCAAGTCACATATATAGCTACTGGTGAGGCCCTTAAGTTCACTATACTATATAACACACACTCTAGACTTCTAGATGTGCCTGTTGTTTTGCTCTATCAATAAACCCAGTTTAATTCACTCTGACCTATCCTGAAACTCTTCTCTATGGTACCAAGTCAATATCCCAGCAATACCAAAGCAGAGGCCCCTGAAGCTCCAAGAATGCCTCAGGTTGCATAGCCACAGCACTGAGTGGTTTTCCCTTCTGCCAATGATAATATGGTAATATATATTTACAGAATATCACCACTGGATCCTACTCATCAAGGCCAGAATCAGGATGACCAGTAATATAATACCTTTGAATATTTTTGAAAAACAAATATATTAGTATATCAAAAGAATGTGAGAATTTTTTTAAAATTAGCTCATGGAACTGAATTCCAAGCTCAAGTATTCCATAAATGACCAGAAAGATACCATACCTGATCCCCCACAAAAAAACTTCATCTCCACTGGTTACAAGACTAAAGTTGCTGAAAAATCAAACCTAGACCCTCCAATGGAATCCCCAGGCTTGCGGGGTATCTAATGATAAAGCGAAGGCATTTACTGAGAAAAGTAAAGTACTCCGTTGGAATGGTGATAAATGAGAAGATCCTGAGGAGGCTGTGGCATTTGAGTCCATAAACTATGATGAGACTTCTTTATCAATAGAAGCAGCTACTTCAACCTCAGGAGAATCAGTCACTCCAGCCCCACTTGGAATTAACCTTTAAATTTACTTTAAAATAACTGATTTATCTCAGGATCCATGCCTACAACCTCTCTTAACTACAAGATCTGTAATTAGATTCAGTGTCGTAAAGGTGAACTACAAAATATGAAAAAGAACACTACACTTCAAGAACAAACAAAACATAAATACTACATTGTTTTCTAATTGACATAGACTGAAATTTAGGAAATATATGTGAAAGTAGATCTGAAGGCATCAAAGAGTAGCATAAAAATGAAGCTTAATCAGGCTAAATTTGTTGATTTGAGCCCACTGCTTGGAGGTTTAAAAGATAATTTGTTTTGTTGGATTAAAGATGGGCCAATTGATAGTCAAGAGAGCACAGGCTAGAAATGACACACCTGTTTTCCTTTGCTGGTAATGAATTTAGTGTCTTGGGAAAATTGGAATGTTAGAGTCTATTTGTCTTCTGGACCTTAATAACCCTGGAAAAGTCCATGAAATACCTTTGTATGTCCCTTTCAAAATGTGTAAGTTGAGTTTTCAAAGGACTTTGCATACTATCACCATTACTGTGAGTTCATGTGAGCAACTGACCAGCTATCTGGGAAACTGGTTTGTTTGTTTGTTTGTTTGTTTGTTTGTTTGTTTGTGGCTATTCACCATCTCTGGCTCTTATAATCTTTCCACCCCATTTTCTGAAATGATCTTTGACAATGGGAGGCAGAAGTTTGAAACAGGTGTCCTAATCAGGGACAAGCACTCTGCACCCTCTCATTCTCTGCATGTTGACCAATTGTGGTTCTCTGCGTTAATAACTATATGCTGCATAAGGAAATTTCTCTGCTGAGAGATGCATTAATCTAAGGGTATAACAATAAGTCATTAGGAGTCAGTTCAATAATATATCTATTTAGCAGAAAACTAGCATTAGGCTTTCCCCTATGTCCTATGATCTGGGTAGCCTCAGGTTCCTAGGCCTGATCTCAGTGTCAGGTATTGACTCCATCCTATGAAGCAGAACTTAAATCCAATTAGAGAGTGGTTTGTTAATCACATAATATTCATGCCACTATTGCACTAGTGGGAATTTCTTTCCAGGCCAGTTGCTTGCAAAATTCACACCTGTGTAAGGTTGATAATTTTCTTTTCAGGTAGCATGCATATCACCTTTCTGTACTATGAAATCTCATATAGACATGGGGTAAGACAATGGGTAAGAAACCTCAACCCTACCTGATGAACTATTGACCATCAATGACTACTGGGAGGGAGCAGAGTCAGTCTTTTTCAAGGTTATGACTTTTGGTAGGTTAACCAGGCTCCAGTGGATGAACCCACACTGAAGGACATTTGGGGACACAAATTAGATTCTATAGGCATAATACATACA